AAAAGGTTGTGATAGTACTCTATCACTTTTTGGGATGCGTCTGAGGCTGGGTTTGGCGCTGCGCCAGTCTGTTCTCCACCAATTGTGGAAACTTGGGGGAAGTTATGATCGTTCTGTTACAGAAATGTCTCCATTCAGCAGAAGAAAGGATGATAGTTGTCTCAAATGGAAACAACACACGAAAAACGTATCCGGGCCATGTTCAGTTAAAGTGCGCAGCCACGCCCTCCCCATTGCTGGGATATGCGGCATAGGTAGACAAATGACAGTCCAGCAAAGGGAAGTGGGCTCGTAATGAAACGAATGAGGCTATTACGGGGGCCGATAAAGTGAAAAAAGATCAAACCATATTCATACATGATTTATAAAAGTCTGTGCTTGAGGCATGCATGATCCAAGGAAAATTCTTTGAAAATGACAGTCCAGCACAGGGAAGTCACTGAATATATTCAAAAATTGAACAAATGAGAAATACTGTGGGGGAGGAAGACAGAGCGGGAACTTCTTTTCAACAATTTCAAAATTTGAGAGAGCAAAATTGATTTCCAGCGATGATGCCTACTCACCTCGTTTCAATCTCAGGCTGGCACGGTGCGCTGGAGTCGAAATAGCTCCTGAAGACACTGATAAGAGCAAAATAATCAGCATAGCGCTGCCCGGTAATCTGAGCCTTTCCCACTTGTTTACAACGGAATAGAGAGCGCCAAAGGTCTAGCGGAAGCCTATACTTTTATTATAGATTTCGTAGACCTGAGGTAGAAGGGGCACAGGAGGGTTGAAAGACGTCTCAAAAGACACGATGGGTGATGCCCACCTTGTCCCGTCCAGACGAAGAACTGAAGGAGAGGGGGAAGTCGTATGGACACACAGTGAACTTTCTCCCAAGTTGCCTGGGCATAATTCATTTTCATAACCCTTGGGGAAGCCTGCCAAGGATGGGACCCCCAACGAAGTAAGTAGCTCACCTGCAAACAAGCTAAACAGAAAAAGCGTTGCAGTGTGCATGTTCGAAATGGAGTGCTTATCTACGCCGACGTGGGCAGTGTCAGCGCCCCGACGAGTGAACGACGACGCTTATCTGCCCTTCCCTCTCCATCCCGCGCTTCCTGACACCCACACTGCTCCATTTGCTCCCGTGGATAAAAGAAAACGCTGGAATGGGTCTGATAAATCTGATAAGAGCTACGCCAAACTTTCGCTGAGACTGGTAGATACGGGAGAGGATCTGCCTTGCCTGCATGGACATCGAGAGGAGCGGCAATGTTCAAGTCGATGCCCTGACATTTCAGATGTTTGGACACATAGACGATGTGTTCCTTAACACGGCGCTTGGTCCTGCGTGCGCTGGTCCTGACTCCTTTTCCACTGATTTTGGTCCCAGGCTTTGTATGTCCAGCTCTTGGACCTAATGGCCCTGGAGTGAGAGACAAATAGCCTAATGGAACAACACTTCTCCGGTCAGTAGAATGATCAAAATAGGGTTATTTCGCAGACTCAAAACATATTAGCCGATGGCGGGAAAGCTATCTGTCACATTTTTCTCGAACTTAGGTTTCTTTTCATAGAGAGGAGTAGAATATTAGTCATGCAGGTTACTGTTTACTGTTACTGCAGTCTTTGTATTACTGTTTGAGAAGAATAGAGAGGGAGATGTAAGATCAAAATTGTACAGCAATGTGTACTGCGGGGTCCTTGCCACTGTTTGAGCACCTCATGGATGCCATCGCTTCACTATGCAGGGAGACACGACGCAAAGTTGGACACCATCTCAACCTCGACTTGAACTTGGGTTATGGAGGTTTTTTCCCGACCCATAGCTCCCTCAAGCTGAGTTTGCAGGTAACCCAAACCTCACTTCGTCATCAAAACTGTAGGCTCCCTAGGCTCCCGCCTTGAAGCGTCACTGTCGTGGTAAGGTTGGCTTCGATGGTTGGGGGCATCGTGCTTATTCAGCTCCATCAATTTGGCATCTGCAGCTAACACGCTGGCGTCAGGGTGGTAGGTGAAATAGTTTGTGGAAGTTGTTGGATGGGTCGGGGCTGATGGTAGCGGATAAAATCCTTGTGCATATTGCAGAAGAAGGAGCAAGAGGCAAGCGAGTGGTACTAACAGAGAGACCACTCCTTTGTTGTACAAGAGCTTACCTTACCGGTTACGCTAATGAGCAAGTAATTTGAAGTTCGAAAATAAGTGACAAAACTTTCCCGCCAACCTAATAAAACTGGCACCATTTCGCAAGAGTGGTGCCGCCTCTCAGATCCGTCTCCCCCTCCCTCCTTTGGATTGATAGGGGGTGCATCGATGTCTGGCTGCCTCCGCCTCGTCCCAGTGTTCCTGTTTTCGTTTGAAGCCTGAAGTCTCGTCCGCACGCCTCAGCTTGATTGCGTTTTCAAGATTCTGTGACGGGCGATGCCAAATATCTCCGTTCCGTCTCTATGGCACCCATATTCAGATGATCGTTCTTTACCATGAAGCGGTCCAGGATGGCAGGTGATAGCGATTTATCGTTAAACTTAACACAATCGTAATAGCGCTTAACAGGTTGCAGTATGCCATCCAGATCCCACTGCAACCACCCGCCCACAAATAGCAGCACAGCTACATTGACGCTGCAATTCTTATCGCACCATTTACGAAGTACGATTTATGCAGCGGCTGTCGCGCTGGATGGATATATGGATGTATACATTCAGCTGTATTTTACTAAGATGATTGTTGGCACAGTGCAAACGGGAGAACTCGGCCGAAAATGCTTTCTGTCAGCCACATACTCGTCCTATGTCATGCAGAACGGAGTTTTTTTTGCGGGTTTCGACCATTCCACTTCGCTTTATCGTCATTTTCTCACTATCTAGCGCATCTACTGCCATTCTGGATCAAGTACCAAATTATCGTGCTCTGTCCCTTTGAAAAGACTCAACATAGCTTACAAATTTGTATTTCGAGTATATAACATGACAGCAATAAAAAATCTATCAATTAAATGTACACAACTACAAAAAAACGTACAAATTAACACAGATTAGAAGAAGTGTTTTTTCGAACTGAGAGATACGAAGGTGAACGCCCACTCACAACGAAGCAAAGGTGTAATATGTAGCCGCGAGCGGTCGCGTCACGATGCGGAGGTAACCTCCTGTATTTCAAGCGCTACTGGTTTGAGTAACGCTCCCATACTATGAGCTTTTCCACTCCAAATCAATTTCATCGTAATTTGGCACCATGTTGATCGACGCTGAGCGACCGCGCGCGGCGAAAGGGTGCTACCGTCTCATGTGAGTGTATAAACACCTGCATATTCTCTGACGATTTCACTAAGATATCACATGTTTGGCCATATTCTGGTAGATACAACTTAAGGCCATTTCTGGTGGATACAAGTCAATTGTGGGTGGAGAACAAATCTAAGGTCTATGCGGACATATTGTAAGCGGGTGGCTAGCAACGGGGAAGTAACCGAAATGTGGCGGGGGAGGTAGGACTTTACATCCACGTGCAGGCAATGCGCAAACAGCTGGTATTTCTTTGGGAATTCTCTTGCTTGTACGGCATCACCTCTACGTTAAGCCGATCAGCTCCTGGTGCGAATGGTGCGAATGCCGCGCACGCGACAGTACAACGTGGATGTAGCGACCCATCCCACGTGGCGTAAAAACGCGGCTTAGCGCGAAGGACCATGATAAAATGCATATGAACAATACATAATTAAGGAGGTGAGGCCCAGATCACATGTAGTCGAAAGATAAAAATGAGATATGTAGACGAAATCTGACAGTGAGAACATTCGAAAGGCAAAACTGGGCGCTAGCGTTATACGGTTCGTCTGCGTCTCTCACCGAGACAGTGACTTCCTCCTTACCCAAGGCACCCCCTGGAGGCCGCAGACGATAAGAGAAGTCACTTTCTGGTCTCCCTTCCCTCTGTGAATCACGCTAGCGCCCAAACTTGTCTTGAGCAAGACATTGCAATTAAAAATGAAAACAACAAAAAAATTAGGTGAATGAATCATCACTGAGCTGCTCTACCGTACCTAAATGAGATTTCAGTTCCAAATGATCCCTGACGTGGCATAGCCTACTTAAGGCAGACAGATCGAAGTTACTGTCCTCTGCTGCAGTTGCGGATCTCAAAAGGGACTCCAACGAAACTTCACGCATTTTCCGTTGGACCTAAAAGTATGCCTAGAAGATAGGAAAACAAGGAAGTGAGATCAAGGACAAATTCCGCGATAAATTTATCCACTAACTCTTAAGGGCGGTGGCCACGATTTTTGGAAGTGGGCGGTTGTCGTCAACGTCACTGATGGGAAGGGCTTAGCGAGGTGTGGCCGAACGCCCTCACCCATCCCGCCCTCATCCACCGAGGATGCTGGCAAGAACCGCCACTACCAGCAATCGTGCCCACTTCATTTAGATCTTGTACATCGATGTGCCTTTGGCGGCGGAGAAGAGAGGCGCGCCAAGGGAAGAAGCGCAACAGTAGCGAATCTGCTCCCCTGAGAAATTTTTCCGGTAACAAGTGATAAGGCAGAAACTGCTGAGTAGCAATTTCATACTTTGACTAGCACTTAAACTTACATTCCAGTCATCAAAGAGTCCTTCTGCTTGGCACTGTTTGCTTTCGGTAGTAACGGATATTTTCTTCGGAGCCTCGTAGATTGGCTGAGGGCATCGGAACGTACCATTCGGGACTGAAA